CTTTTTCCAAAAAGCTATCTATTCAACCATAAGAAAACTCGTATAATTATTATCTGATTCAGCTTGAAAATGAAGCTGGATATTTGATTAATGTGCTTGAGATTGTAATAGATAATTTTTCTATTGGTGTATGATTTCCTAGAATAAAGTAGCTGGAAATACAAACTTAAAATATTATTAGATAAACAGTTGAGTTTCAGAATTACTACTACATTTGTGGATTGCCCGATGATGCACAGAGAGTTTAAATTTGTTTATGCTTTTGTTGAAAAGTTATAATGATATAATGGTCTATTTTGTTTTGATATTTTTAGTCAAGATAAAAGTTAACACTGACAGCAAAAAATAAGGAAATCACTAATACTGAACATAGAAAATATGGAGAACATTGACCGAATACAGTAGAAAATACAGAGAACACTGACTGAATACAGTGGAAAATACTGAAGTCATTAACATTAAATACAAAAGAAAGTGTGAAGTCCAATAACAGTCAATACAGTAGAAAATACAGAGTCAACTAACATTGTATGCAATAACAAATACAGACATGTCCATTAAAAGTCAATACAATAACAAATACAGACATGTCCATTAACAGTCAATACAATAAAAATACAGAAATGTCCATTAACAGTCAATACAATAACAAATACAGAAATGTCCATTAACAGTCAATACAATAAAAATACAGACATGTCCATTAAAAGTCAATACAATAACAAATACAGACATGTCCATTAACAGTCAATACAATAAAAATACAGAAATGTCCATTAACAGTCAATACAATAGAAAATACAGAGTCAACTAACATTGTATGCAGTAGGAAATACTGAGTACAGAAGCAAATACAGACTATTAACAATGAGTACAAAAGAAAATACAGACTACTAACAATGAAAACAGTAAAATACAGAGACCACTAATACTGAGTACAGAAGAAAATACAAACTACTAACAATAAATACAGTAAAAATACTGAGACCACTCACTGAGAGCAATAGAAAATAGACCACTAACACAGAGTACAATAATAACAAATACAGAGACCATTGATACTGAGTGCAATAGAAAATACAGACCACTAATAATTAATACAGTAAACACAGAAACCCTCAATTCAGATCACCTACACTGTAATACAGTAAAAATTACACTTGTCATAATGAAATTAATTTCTCTAATAATAGAAAGATTCTAGTTCAAGTTTATATAAGCACAGACTCACTATCCTTAACTTAGTCAGCAAATCAGTTACATGTTTACATGCCTAATTCACTATATAACATTGTTTTTAAAATTATCTACTGGATATAATACCAGACATAAAATAAAAGTCAGCCAATAAGAACTAACCGTCATGAACACATTTATTTTCTATCCAATTATAGTTCTTGCAGCAACAAAGGACTCTTTTAAAGATTCACACAATCCAACTTAAATACAGACCAATCTTCATACCAGGAGACACCTTCTACCACTACTAATACTAAACAGGAAATATGACTAAAGAAGCAAGTAACAATCTAACATATGGTTTACTGACAATGAGGGCCTACAAACCAGAATAAACTGTATAATTAAAAAAACAAATTTTGATTTCTCAGTAATACTGGATTCCAAGATAAATGCATTTTGTTGTGTAAGCCAGATCTTAAGATTTACTTTAGAATAATAATCAGTTTAATTCAAATTATAATGAAATATAATAATGAAATATAATAATGTAATATCATGTAAGCCAGTTAAAAAAAAAAAAAAGATTCATAGAATGCATTAGCTTATTAGCTGGGTATTCTCAATCATAATGGTTTTAACCATATTTCTAATAAGGTTTACTGAAGTCAGAACAATTTTGATCATTTTTACTTCTAAGTTCACAAACTAAACAGTGATTTTAAATTTAAAACTTCATTAAATGTCCAGAATGTTTAAAAATATAACTTACAACAAAATAAATATGCAGCTCAATCAATCATTCAATTTGCAACTTGTTACTGAGTTATACTGGTTTAGAGAAACTCCACTCCTCATCAGTAACCCTAGGCAAGGGCAAGTCAAAAGATTAAGACTTGACTTCATATAATGGTGGAGTGCATATAAAATGTACGGTGTTTTGAAATGTCTTTTACTTACCCGGGGATATATAGTTACATAAGAATTGCAAGAATATACAGCACTGTGCTACTAGTTTATTCTTGTGAATTCTTCAGCTGATGAGGGGTGGAATTCCCCAAAACCAGTATAACTCCATGAGAAGTGATATATCAAATGATAGATTATTTATTTTTGTATTTTACACTACTTGTTGGCTGAAGAATACACAATAATAAGTTAGTAGCATTAATGCTGCTTATTATACGTTATACAACATTTTTCCACAGACTAGGTTAAGAGGTCTGAAATATATGATAAAAATAAAACTAGGATCGGATTCCTCAGATTAATGAGTTGTTTTTCTACCATTCACTACCAGTGAAATCTACCTATATCACTACCAGTAGGATCTACCCATATCATCACACTGGATAATTGGTGCTACTATAGCGTAGTCTACACAGATATCATAAACACCATTCACTAAAACATAATTTCCTGCTAAATATTTTATATCTATCCATGTTTTTGTTCATCAAATAATAATAATTTAATGAGTTGTGTGTTCTAAAAGAGTACCTTAAATTTAGGTTCTAATTGTGCTAGTTTTGATTGTTGGAATTTATTTCATTCCCATTATATTTGCCCCAAAAACGTTATGTAATGGTATTTTATACTTTAATAGTTTAAAAGCATTATTTATAATAAATGGTACCAATTGCAAGTAAATGAAAGTTAAAATGGTGATGATGATGATAGTATCTGTGTAGACTGCACGCTATAATAGCACCATATAATTTTATGATGTTTGCTTGTTCAGACACTCAATGTAAATTACTGAACAAAAAATTGGATGAAGATATTAATTTTTTATGTAAAATACATAAGGAACCAAGCACCAATTAGTAGGATTTGTGTTTATTAAAGACTGTTAACAACAAAGTCATAAACAGTTTTAAAAAATGTGTTTAGAAAAAATCAATGTTCCCACAGGTAAATCCTGGGTTATACAACTATGCATATACCTTTATGGCAACCAATACAACTTATGAATTTTAAATCCTTGCTTTCAGAAACAAGCTTTACATTACACTACAAAAAGAACATAACACACTGAAGCTAAATATGTTAGATAAAACATCATGGAGAGACATGCTGAAATTTGATGTAAGTTGTCCTAGTTTATCAAAGTATAATTAGTGTTTACAGAAAAAATTACAGTGCAATTTTACTCAATATATTTACCTTTTACATTTCAATCAAGTAATAGTTCTAGCATTTTTTAAACTTAAAGATATAATGGATTTTGGTAATGTTTATAAAACATCAATCTGTGTGCGAAAACTAATTTCATTTAAACATCATTAAATATTTAATAATTTCACACTGCAAATTATATATATATATATATACATATATATACACGTGTATGTATGAGAAGCCAACCCTTGCTCATAAAGTTGACACAACTGCAAGTTCGCAGCATCATGATGTTCACATTGGTGAACATTACTTAATCACAGTAAAATACTCAAAAAAGTTATTTTACTTGTTCTATTGTTGAGGCCTTACTTCAAACAATGTCCACACTTTTACCTAGTCTAGATAAGTGAGCTATGAACACAGGTTAAAAAATTAAATGTAGAACATTTTGATGTGGCTTGATGCAAGTGTTTAAAACTCTGAGACTTAGACAACAAGCCTCTGATTGGTCCATTTCAGAAGTATTATAAAAAAAGGTCAGGAAAGCAAAATTCATTATGAATAGCAAGTCTGAGCTTTTGAATCTGATCTTGATTTGTTCCTTGGTAGAATTACTTCTTGTGTAATGACCAATTTATAGAATATTTTATCTGATAATGTGATTTGTGCCCAAAGTTTAAGATTTTTATAACATTAGTTGAATATATATATATATGAATGTGAAGGACTACGTTCAGTTTTGATACTTTTGTTGATTATTTTGGTTGAACAGATGGACCAAACAGCTTTTTTTGTTTTTAGCAGCTCCTATCATGTTCTCACGCTTCTTGACACTTAGTTTAAACACGTTACTGTCAACTACATCCCCACCATATTTAAAGTTCCACCCCATTCTTGAAAACCTAAAATCTTTACTTATACTTCAGGATTGTTTTTACTTCAACAAATATAACATCATCAGCCAGTTACTATTACTAATATCAGACCATGAATGTATGGAAAATGTATTCATATTTTTCTAATTCTATGAAGTTTCTGATGATACTCATCATTTTAACCAATCCAAAAATTAAACTGGTCTTTGAAGGCACACTGGAAAGCCTGATTATTAGTACTTTAATATCACTAAACAGAACATCAGTCTTAAGGAACTATTAATAATTGAATTGGTGCTCTTCCAACTTGTCAAAATTCATGTGCCATGTATCCATGCACTATAAAAGTATAAATTATAATGTCCAAGATAAAGAACTGAACTTAAAAGACAAGTATATGTTAGTTTGTTAACTCAACGTCCTAAGCTCCAAGTCGCCCATTAGAACATCTGCATGCACCCATTTTTCTGTGTTTGTGCAAAGTACAGAAACATGAATTACAAAAAAATTGAATGTTACTTTACCTTGTAATCATACATATATGACAAAACAAACATAAATTTGAGTCTTCGTCTTACTGTAATTTACAGTGTAAACAAACTGCCTTACAAAATGCTTTTAAATATTACAAATTAATGAAATGTTAAATACAAGAAAATAATTTTACTCACTATAGTATGATTTATTTATTCGTAACTAGTGAACTTAAAAGTTTCCAAGTAGTCTTAAGAGCCTAAAGTTGGCTAGATTTTTAGTAATTAAATTTTAGTCCCAAAGAACTGACGTTAATGCTATCTTAACACTACCGTATGATAAACTTACTTTTCTTTCTTTCTCTCTAAAAGGTATAGCATGCCACGGCATGTCCTTAAAGTATTCCTCGAATTTCTCTTCATCTTCATCCGAACTGACAAAAACTATTGAAAAACTTCCTTTCTTGGCACTACAATTAAAATTGTTATAGAAATTGATTAAGTCAGGTGTAAATGCTCGGCAGGGTGGACACCAGTGAGCCGAAAAGTATAAGCCAATAACCTTTCCCGGCCCACACATATCCTCAGTTTTTATTCGCTCGTTGTCACCATTACTACACAGTTCTTCACCAAGCAGATTTGTGATAAAACTGGTTTGACTCATGATGAATTCAGCTTAACCTATGTGATCAACATGTGTGCAAAAAACTCCAGAACAAGAAGACTTGTAATATATTGAGTGAATTAACTGTTACTCAGCTAACACAACTCACACGTCTTTCTCGTACTTACAATACGAACTGACGAGCGTTCAGACGAACAAGTCAATATTTTAAATTATTTCACATACTCTCCGCTAGAGGCCTCTATATACTCAGTTGAGATTATTTTTCAGTATTTCCCTTTGTTTTTTCTTTTCAGATATCTATGCTTTTCTAAACAGAGAGAAAAAGTTATTTGCTATTTCACATTAAAAATAGCTCAAATGAAACATACTAAAAGTTTAAATTCAGAAACCTTACGCTTCACAAAACAGTTTTATAAATGAAAAGCATTGATAAAGTCAAAAATGATCACATTTTAACAATAAAGCTAGAAAAAAAAACTACATTACGAAGCCGTAAGGACGAATCGTTGGTTGAGATAAATAGTTTTTCTTATTATTATTATTATCTAATCAAAAACAACTTAGGTATGAAAAAAGGTGCGGCCAATAAAGGATTGAGCGTGCGACTTAAAGGAATGATATCAGAATTGGCGGCCAAACTGGTAGCTACACTTATAAAGCATTGATAAGAATTTTACAGCAAATATTCATTCATTAGTTAGCCAGGGAGTGTTTGTTTTTTTATTTTCTTTCAACTTGGGGCATGATGATGGGTGAAACAAAATACGCGGCCTAGCTAACTAATGAATGGATATTTGCTGTAAAGTGTAGCTACCAGTTTGGCCGCTTATTTTGATTTCATTCCTTTAAATCGCACGCTCAATCCTTTTATTACTCCTAAGGTGTTTTTGATTAGATGTCATGACTTTTCGTCAATACACACCAATAAACCACATCAAGTAAGAAAGTGACACTCGATAGTAACCAACATTAGCTTGAGGATCGCAACCCTGTTATTCGGAACATACCTATACTTCACTAAACCAACCAGATTCTTTAAAATATATTGTGGTAGTTTACCCGCTCTAAAACAGTGTTAATAACTTCCTTTATAGAAACACAACGGAACCTAGGTTAATAGTTTTTGTCATCTCTTAGTCATATTTTCAATAGATTTCAGAATTGTATGACTCAGTCACATTTAGAATCGTTTATGCTAATATCGTGCGAGAAGGATCTACATGTGAAAATCGATAGCGACACCATTATTAATATAATAACTTCAAAAAGTAATACAATGAAAAAAGTTATTATAATAAAAAATGGAACAATCGTCAACATTAAGATGGTTTGTTGTATTAATTACTTTATTGTTATTTTGCAGTTTTGATCTTTGTAAAAACAAAAATTTTTAATCAAAACAAATAAATGATTAATTTCATGTTATCCTAATTAACTGATTACAAAAGCTGGTGAATATTGTTACGTCTCCGATTTCACACAAAAAATCAGGATGAATGAGGATGCATATTCGTTTGACATCAATGTTCTTCCCTTTTCTGTAACACTGGTTTATGATTCGACTATATTCTGCTCCTTGTTAGTTGTGGTACAAGTGAAACTTTTCCAAACCACCAGACTGCTTTTCAATATCCTTTTCTATTTATGCCTTCCTCTTCTGACTTCCTGATTCATATATTCTATAAA